AAGAAGAGGAAGAAGAGGAGGACAAGACTAAAGCAATTTCATCTCCCTCCTTCTCTCTCTGCGATCATCATCCCTCACAGAATCGTCTCCCTCCTCCTCTCTCTGCGATCATCATCCCTCACAGAATCGTCTCCCCCGTTCTTTCTCCGCCGTCATAACGTCATAATCCCTTCACAGAATCTCCTCCTCCTCTTGTTATTAATATGATAAATGAATGCAGGGATGTAGGAATGCAATGAAATGATTGAAATCAAATCAATGAAACAAACTCCCTTACTGCCAGCCCAGAAAGAGCTCTCCTTTAGCTCTCCTCTCTCCCCCGCTTACTTCTCCTGGTATTTAAAAACAGAACCTTATGGTTCTGGCTCCTTTTCCATTCTGGGGAGCATCGCTCCGGTTCCTATTCGATCGGCATGTCATCATTGCACAATACAACACACACAAGACGCTTCTCCCCGTTATCGTTGGGAGACCCGGGTGGGCGGCGCATTGCTTTTTTTTTTCGCATTTTCTTTGCAACTTTTGATTCCCGCTGCTGCCGGTAGGGCCAAAAATTCTGTGTTTCCTGGCCACACGGGTAGTCCGAATCTCGAAACGCACGCCTAAGGGGCTGGTGGTTTAAAGACTTTCGAGAGGTGTTGCTTCAGACTCCTACCACTCTGTTTTTCTTGTGCGTCTTTGTGTTTCTCTGTTTGCTCAGAACCATGCTGAAGATTCTTCTAGTTCAAAGAATGCTGTGTCTTTTTTTTTTCTTGCGCAGGAATTGGGCAATTGCTCAACTCCATCTTAGTGGGGAAACATAAACTACGCGAAAACACATTGGACAATGGACAATCATGTTTGTGGTGTTTCCTTTGTAAAGGTTTTAGTTCTTCGGAGAGTTATAGATGCTTGTCTTCACCCTGAATAGAACACCCGGTCGTTTTATTGCTGTATGTGCTGTATGTTTAGACGGGCATTTGGCCCTTATACAGGAGTCGTGATCGGGCGTTCTATGCACGTGACGACGGTAAGTAGTGAGAGATCACAACAAGCCCATGCGCACTTGCTCACACGTTTCGTAACGTCCTTGACGATACCAGAGGACTTCCATGGGCGTGATAATGAAGCGTTGTTTCCTGTCCTTTGTTGGCTTGGACACAGGTACCCGACTCTTCATCCCTTCCTTCTTGATCAGCTGCGCTCTGCGACAATGAGGTTAGCGGACAATGGAGACAGCTTAAGGGGTGTTGCGAGCAGCTCTGCCTTGCATCCGAGTCTGTACCCAGTGCTGACGCTTCTGGCACGTTTGCGGCCGTCAGTGATGAATACAGCTTCCGACGACTGGCTCAGTCCGTCCGCGTTCATTCCGTACGTCAAGAAGTGTGCGACGCAAAGGAACTTCCATTTGCGTGTGCTTGCATCGAAGGCCCTTGCTCCCTTAGTGCCGCAGCGTGACATCACAAAGGTCATCAGAGATCTTGCTGGGGAGTTACCACCACCCTCCTCATCTGCCGACTATTGTGGAGGTGGTGGGGACCACATCTGCAAGCCTGAGAAAAGATATCTATACAACCATATACATGGCGTGCTGTTGCAGGTGCGTGCACTGCTGACAGTGACCAGCACGACAGTTCAAGCGCCCTCTACCAGTCGCCAGATGTTGGCCGAGTTGTTTTCGGTTTTGCAGGGAAGAAGGTGGCTCGGATTCCAATCGCTCTGCCCATGTGACTGGGTAGTGGAGGCATTCCTGCATGTGGCAGAAGGTGTTCTGGACGTCGCTCAAGAGACTGTCTGCAAAGGGGATGGGGAGTGTGTTGCTTCCCCGGAAGTGGTGGGTCTTGCACTCAGCATCCGAGAACTCGTTGTCGGATTGTGCGAAGCCTCGCTGTTTGGTGCGGGTGCTCGGCGGGTTAGTGGACGTGGAAAGCTATTCGCAATGTCTATCAGCCTCAGGGAACGTGCAGCTCGCATGTATTTTCGGATATCACTCGGAATGAAAGGGGAGTTTGGGAGTGTGGTGAAGGGGACGGATCTGTCTGGACGGTTAAGTGAGGGAAGCAGAGTCAGTAGTGGATATGTTGATTGTGATGAAGGTGGGAGAACCGAACACCATGATGGCATGAGTGGTGCCCATTGGTCGATTGTGAGCCGTCGGATTGTTCAAGCATTGACGGATGACATGTATGAGGTAAGGCGAGCCACGCTCAAAGTGCTCTGCGAGTTGTCACACTGTACGGCGGAACCGTCCCAGAGGAGTAATGGAAGTCGAGGGGAAAATATGCAAGACAAAGGCCTTTTGATCGGTCTTGAATGGGACGCGATCCAGTCAGTTTTAATGCAGAGGCTACTGGTGGAGGATCATCCGGCATGTGTCCGGCAAATCATGAAGGTTCTGTACGCTTGGAGCTCGTCAGGCGCTCAGCAATGTAGCGCAACTTTCCCAGGAACGGGTATGTCGATCGTCGGTGCGAGTATTGGTGGGAATGAGAGCATGAAGGAGGAGCCTTGGTGTCATCGATGGGGTGGAAAGAAACATGCCTTCAGTTTGTGGGATGCACTTCGCGGCATTTTCGAGCATACACGGCAGACTAAGACAATGGAAGTGGCAATGCTGTGCATGGGTGGATGCTTGAGAGTGCTGGTCGCCAACTTTGTGAGTGTGGCCTGCTCCGCTGAGGGTCTGGTGATCAACAATCATGAGATAAGCAGTCTGCAGGACCGTCTACGTGAAGCAGTGCATTTCTGGAGGTCTACTATCTTGAAACAGAGCTTGCCGGACCGCGCAGTGACCTCACGGCGTGCGACTGCGGAGGCAGTTGTGGCATCGGGATTACTAGCATGTGTAGATTTGATCAATAAGGGGGTTCCTGGGGGGTCACAAGGAGGAGGGTCAGAAGCATTTGTCTGGTTGTCTGAGGCGGTGCTCGACAGCTGGGTGGTTGCTCTGAAGCTGTTGGAAGACGAAGATGCATATCTTCGTCAGAAACTGGCATCTGACGTCATGGAGTCTATGCCCCGGACAAGGGGAAGAATGCTCTCACTAGAGAGCGGTCAGGTGGGTGGGACGAATGCCATCACGGATGTCAATGGAGCCGTTGCGATCGCACAGGTGGAGAGGGTCCTCCAGCTGAGCTTCCAGTACCTGACGAACCAGTTGGCAGGTTGGGGTGTGTACTTTGACAGGCTAGCAGAGTGGCTGATTGGTCCTCAAAAAGCCGCCGATGATCTTGACGTGGGGAAGGATCTCGTCAAGCGGCTGTTCGACAAAGAGCTGGATAATCACCACGAAGAGGAGTTGATGTTCGTCCAGCTGGCATGCCAGCACATGCAGAAGATCATCGTGAAACACTGTAGTTCCGGACACAGGAGACAATGGGAAGTGGGACTGGGACACGGGTCCAAACTGGGAGGAGGCCTTGATGGAGAAGGAGCTGTACGTTCTGTCAACGGAGCCGATGACGAGTTATTCAGGACATTACGTTCACAGGTGTGCAGATGGCGCAGAGTTTTTGCTGAGCGTTTGCGGGCTTGCTGCAACTTGGTGGCACGCCTCCAGTCGCGGTCACTTTGGGTCGGCGGAGTTACGAACCATCAAGATGGGTTCAAGCTGATGTACCGGACACTAATTGGACTGCTAGCGCTGATCGAACCTCTGCCACGAATGATATCAACGGACGTAGGAAAGCCAAGGAAAGCAGTGCAGCAGCAGCAGCAGCAGCAGCAGCAGCAGCAGCAGCAGCAGCAGCAGCAGCAGCAGAAGTCTTCTTCTCAAAATTCCCAGATTTTTGTAGAGAATCATGCTCAGCTTGAGCAGGACATGACTGCGGTCGCCATGCAGGAGGGTGGGGAGTGGGGACAGGTGCTGCACAGCTTGCGGCATGCGGGGGAAACAATGAAAAAACTCCCTCTCAACCTGCTGGTGTCGAACACGTTGCTCTACACCATGCGGAGTTATGAAAGGTTATCAGGTATCAGTCTGGGGTCTGACGAATTTCAAGTGGCTCTCGGAAAGTCTTTCTGGGAGAATTTCCAGCCACTTTTCTTGTTGGATTGATCGCAAATTGCACATGCGCACCTGTATGATATCCTTTTATGAGTTTGCTCTTTTGTTGCGCCGACCTAAAGAAGGATATGCTGTGAGCTGTGCACAGATGAAGGCAGCCTTCATTTGCGTGTTGTGCAGCAGTTGTATCCTTTTTCAGTTTTCTCTTTTGTTGCATTCGGTCAATTAGTGGAGAGAGAGAGAGAGAGAGAGAGAGAGAGAGAGAGAGAGAGAGAGAGAGAGAGAGAGAGAGAGAGAGAGAGAGAGAATGAATGAAGAGCATAAATTAAGGCAGGCTCCATTTGTGATGCATTAATTGCCGATTAGTTCTTGTCTTTCTTTGCAGCAACTGGTTTATCGATCCATGATTGTCTTTTTGCACGGTGCGGCATTTAACTTTACATCTCCATCCATCGGCACATCTGTTAAAATTGGAACGATTCAGAGAAGATTAGCGTGGCCCCTGTGCAAGAAGGGAGGACGGGGGGGGGGGAGGGGAGCTTAACATCTCTGACAGATTCTGATTCTGCAAAAAATGACAAAGGGTACAATGGTGATATAACAAGAGGCCCACTGGGTTGGCCCAGGACAGTGAGTCTAAACTCCCATGATGTGCAACGTTCCCTCCAATGGTTGGTTACGAGATTACATTGAAGATGTGAGAAACGAAAAGGGATCATGAGCCTCGCTGCACTACTCTTGAAATGCACAAAAGACAAAATCATGGTCGTGTATCTTTCCATATTCTAGCGGAAGATTCACTCTTGTTTTGCACATTTCGAGAGTAGTGCAGTGAGGCCCCATGTCTTTGATATCCGGACAGCCTGCCTGAAACACATTGAGAGAACCCAGAAAAAAATGGATCAATTGCTTGCATCCAGACATAGGGCCTCGCTGCACTACACTCTCCACATGCACAACAGACAAAAAATATGGCGGTGCATCTTTCCATGTTCTAGCGGAAGATTCGTTCTCATTTTGCACATTTCGATTGTAGAGCAGCGAGGCCCATAATAAGTTAACCAGTATGAGCTAGCTGTTGAAAAAGGTGGAGGGGTTTTCATAATATACCGCCTGCCTTCGGTATGCGGAAAAGAAGAGGGCAAGGAAACAAGGGCAGCGGAATGATAAGGATAAGTCGGGCTCTTTAATGCAGAGGACTCATATTTTTGAAGATCTGCGCCCCAAAGAAAAGGAAAAGACAACAAGGAATCAGAAAAAGAAAGAGAATCCAATCTGGACCATTCAGAATCTAAGGAGAGGATAAATCCGACACAGATCAGAGCAAAAAAATGACTGCGGCAGTGCGGCGGCAAAAAAATGACTGTGGTAATTGAGGCCCAGACCGAAAAGCTCAAGAAACTAAGTGATGGAGCCTACAAAACTTAGTTCACGATTATCCAACACTTTGCTGAGGGCAAGGCGTCACATTTGTTGGCAGCGGCGAAGGCAGCAAGGCTGCCATTGAGGGGCAGTCCGACCGCTGATTGGCAGTGATTGCTTCTCGGTGAACATTGAAAAGGTGGGTGAGTGGTAGATTGGCACGAATGTGTCTTTCACAATCTAGAGGATTGTGGAAGGGCAGAAAAAATCTGGCCAATGTTCGTCAAGATAAGGTCACTGTTGTCTATCCGTCGCGCGTGTATGAGACATTCGACTCACTCACGCGATTACCCGGATGCCAGCTCCTCTCCGACTGATCCACATGACCAGCATAGCCATCTCATTCTCTCCTCCCCTCATTGCAAAAATGCCCAAGATAACCCAACTGAAGAGGGGGATGATGTGGAGAGGAGGCCTTGCAGAATGGTTGCAGCCATCCATCCCCCAGAGCATGCTGGCAAGGCCCTGTGGCAGATTTAATTAAATCTGGAACACGGAGTGGAGATTTAATTACATCCAGCCCCCTGGAGATTTAATTAAATCCAGCCCCCTGGAGATTTAATTAAATGCAGCCCCCTGGATTTAATACGGGGAGGCATCCAGCCCCCTGGTATTCTGACAGAGCTGCTTGCCTCCCCTGTGGCAGATTTAATTAAATCTGGTGGAACACGGAGTGGAGACGAGGATCTATACGGACCCCAAGCCTTGACTCCAGGGCGTTTGCTGTTGTCCTCGACATGTACTATCGATACGAGTACTCGGGGGAGGAAATGAAAGAATGGCGGGACGAGGATACAGACCCCAAGCCTGACAAGCCCAGCTGCAAAAAAAAAATGTAGGAGAAGTGCGGGGGACTACAAGTTAGATGAATGTATACGATAGCCGACTCTCATTCGACCACCCATCGGACATTGCCCCTCCGAAGCCATGGATGCGAGAGCGATCAGTCCACCACCTAAGTAGATGATCACCACTTCTGACGGCTCCCTAACACATCGGCAATGGAAATCATTAGAAAGAGGGCCAATCAAAGGGAGGGTAGGATGAACTGGAAGAGGCAACAAGGGATGATTATTGGATGCTGGAATGCAAGGGATGATTATTGGATGCTGGAATGCAAGGGATGATTATTAGTTTCAATTATATCGTTCATTTTTTCTTCTTCATTTTTTCTTCTCCTTCTATGATTATTAGATGCTGGGTAACATTAGAGAAGGAGAAGAAAAAATGAAGAAGAAAAAATGAATGATAAAATTTTAAGGTTGACATCGTGGTGTTGTAGGAAACACAACTTAGAGATTCGATTGAACACCAAAACATCCGCAAATGTTTTGGCAGAAAACTGGGAGGGATCAAGGATGAAATATGGTATGGTCTTCAGATAAAGGTACAGCTAATCTCACACCTAAATCCTGTCGCTTTTATACGAGGGGCTCAGTCCTCGGTATTCCAACTATAAGGGACGCTGGGCCCGGTTCCCAACACGTGCTGCTCCCCACGAATAGATCGGAGCTTAAAAAAAAAAAAACCTGATATAGAAGGGGGAAGATGGTGTCTCATCCATCTAACATGCAAGGACAAAGAATTCAGATTGACCCCATCACAAGCCAGCAAAACATCCACGAAACAAAGAATATATATATATAATATTATATTATATATATATTATATATCGTCAAATAGAACTGCCCAGTAAACCGTAGGCAGAGAGGGAGAAGAGGACAACAAACGAGGGGCTGTGACAAACTGTTTCGTATCTATAGATATTTTATATATATATATATATTTGTCACAGCCCCTCGTTTGTTGTCCTCTTCTCTCCCTCTTGTCCCTCTCTGCGCCTACGCCTACGGTTTACTGGGCAGCTCCTCTGTTTGACGATATATATGCACCCAAGCAACTTGAAGTTCATGGAAAGACCAACATGTACAACGATCATTGAATAACGGATCTGATGAATGACCGCAGTTTACATATTATCGTCGAACAGAGGCGCTGCTCGGTAAACCAAGCGGGGAGGCAGAGAAGGACAAGAGGGAGAGAAGAGGACAAACATACGAGGGGCTGTGACCAACTGTTTCGTCGGAGTTTCACCGACTTGTATATGTGCACCATTTTGAGCATGTATTCTAGTATACTAGTATTCTAGCCGGTGATTGGACCAATGACCACACTTCAGATCTGACCAACGACTGCATTTTCAGCCTAGCCTCCCTAGAGGCAGTGCCAATCCATGAGCTTTCGCATTCTAGACCATAATCTCATCGAAATGTACCACACTATGTATCCAGGGGGAAAAAAAACATTCACCTGGGTCAAGAAGAAACCACACTCGCCAACCGAAAAAAAGAAAGTTAAAAAAGTCCTTCTGGACATCCGTTAAAATTGGAATGATACAGAGAAGATGAGCGTGGCAAATTAAAAAAAAAAAAACATTCACCCTGGTCAAGAGGGACCACACTCAGCACACCGCTTTTTCCTTCATTGACTACCTTTCTCTCAGACCCTCTGCTCGGCATGGTCTACATTGGAGAAATTTTGCCCCCTTGCTCCTTACCCCGGGCTTGGATCACAAAGCCATATACAGCTGACCATTAGTTTTGAGCAGTGCTTCAAGAAAGGCTCAAGCTTTCACAAGTGAATGCTTGACAATTCTGTCCTGCTATGTCCTACTATGTCTCATCAGGCCTTTCAATAGAGGGTGTGTCCTTGAATGCTGGCAGAACTTGAGGGGTATTTACGTACCCAGTCAGGACAGGTGGAGCGGTTTCAAGAAAGTCACATGACGCTCTCCCAACCTGTTGCCTAAATCTTAAGCCGCCAGTGCTTCCTAAAGGGGTGGCGGTCAACAAGCCACAATTTGAGAAAACGTACGGGCCACTACAGGAGGGGCCAAATTCATCAGACTAGAAATGTTTCGACTCTATTGTTATTTTTGCCCCCCATGGCGGATAGCTGGGCCCAGTACTGGTGGCTTAAAGGTTAAAACTGCTGAGAACATTGTGATTGACAAGCAGCCCTTTTTTTTTTTTTTTTTTTTTTTTTTTTTTATTCTCCCACACTCTACACACAGATTTGGGAGAAAGCAAGGAAAGAATTAGAGTTGTGGAGACTGCGGGAGCCTGAAGGGACTGAAAGGGAAAAAGGAGGACTGAGAATGAGAGAATTATACCTTTCTCTGCCTTTTGCACTAAGATCAAGTGCACTGTCTCTGTTCTGATTATCAGTTTAATATATCTGATCCGTGGTCTATAGGAGCACACGATATTAATTTAAATTTTCTGGGCTATGGAGGGGGGGTCGTAAGGGTAAGCTTGCTTGCTCGACCCCTCTTCCAAAGTTCTCTCTTAACAAAAAAAAAAAAAAAAAAAAAAAGAAGGAAGCAAGTCAATATCAAATTACTTTTTTGGCCAGGATAAAAGCAAAGGCAAAACTCTAGCAGACCCACCACCAGAAACCAGAATGGTGAGCGAAGGTCTATGTTGGAATTAGCGAAGGGAGTTGTACGAATATCTATAGCAAAAATGTCCACCCTTCCTAGAACTCACCTATACTCCTAGATAGACATTTTGCTATAGATATTTGTACAACTCACCTATACTCCTAGAACTAAGACTCCGACGTCTAGCCCAACAAGTGTTAGAGAAGCCCGTTCTAGGATGCTGTGGCGAAGCGAAGCCTGGTTTAGGATGCTGTGGCGAAGCGAAGCCCGTTCTAGGATGCTGCTGCGAAGCCCGTTCTAGAATGCTGTGGCGAAGCGAAGCCCGTTCTAGGATGCTGTGGCGAAGCGAATCCCGTTCCCCGTTCTAGGATGCTGCGGTGAAGCGAAGCCTGTTCTAGGATGCTGTTGCAGCTCTCTTGCTCTTGGATAGAACAGTTGCCTAAGAGCAATAGGTAGGAAACTCTAAACTCTTGCCAAACCTGTCGCGATGGAGGGATTGCATTTTGCAGTTTAAAAGTTTTTTAAAGTTTTTTGAAGTTTTTTGAAGTTTTTTGAAGTTTTTTGAAGATTTTTGAAGTTTTTTGAAGTTTAAAGCATGAACAGTAATAAGTCAGTGGGCATTGATGGGGGCTGCCAAAAGAGGTTTGGGAGAAATTTTGGCCGCTGTTGGAGGTGAGCGATCTTCTGAAAAACTTGCTGCATACTGACAGCAGGCTCTCAAGGGGAGCTTGAGAAACCTATTCGTGGATGCAGAGAGGCGACTGACTACTGAGCTAGAGCTTTCGACCTTTGGGAGGGAATCCTTATGTCCTTCTCCCTTCCCTGGACACCCCATCCAACTCCTCCTATGGACTTTTGGCGCTCGCCACACCACAGTAGAAACGAAAAAGGTACGAGTGCACCAGAGAATGGCAAGATACATCCGTTACTATGTATGGCAACGGATGCATCTTACCACTTGCAGAGGAAGGTGCATTCCTCATTTCTCACCAAAAGACGGAGAGGATCTGGTTCGGTATACGGAAGAGAAGGTGTCCGCGGAACTCTTGATGGCCCCAGCACTCCATGAGATACTGTGTGGGCTGCTACCAGACGACGGATTCAAGCGGAGATGTTATGCAAGAGACAGAAAATCAAACTCTCGATGCCGGGGTGACTTGTGGGTTGGGGGGGGGGGGGGCGGCAGCAGAAAATCAGAGCTAATCTGATACGAATATGACTGGTGAGAGGCAAGATGGCGGACATTGACGGCTCCGGCATACGATGGAAAGACTACCGGTAGCACTCACTACTCAGAAGTGGGGCTCAGGAGGGAGAGGATCCCAATAGCAGACGTCCAAGACCCACAAAAGGGCCACAAATAGATAGGAGCCTTGTCCCCCTTATAAAAAAAAAAAAAAAAA